CATTTTCTAAGATGAATTCTGGGAAACAGAAACGAAATGAAACTTAATTTCTCCCTTTAATAATTCGTTTCACTTTCCTTCGGGTTTTTAATCATTTTAATAAGTCATTGACGATGCAACGATATTCTTAAATGCTTCCAGGATCTTCGCAGTGCTTTATGTCCACCTATTCGCTTTTGTCACGATTGCATAAAATCCACGGTCTAGTTGCAACGGTACGACACGATTTCACGTTAGAATTTATGGCAGTTGCGAAACGAGTGGCTAATAAAATTGGTACATAACAATTCTTTCGAGGAAAACGAGTTGATAGAATTGTGTGTTCGTGGAAAATAGTTTCTGGGGAGCGTTAATAATTTCCGCGAGGGTTGTCGTTTGATTAACCGAAATTTAGAATCTCGAGGCAAGTGTGAATAAAAAAATAGACGCGATGGCATATTAAAATAAAATAGAATATTAATTGTTATCAAGCGATGGCGTACGTCGTTAAAGAAATTGTTCGCGGAGTTTTACGAATCCGGTCGCACTTTCTCGCTTTTAAAACATTCCGGAAATGTCTTCCGTTTAATTCGACGAAAACACGCGGAATTCGTGGACAGACGTAATTAAGTAACGTGCAACCGCGCCGACCAAGACGCAACTGTGTTTCATCGCTGTAAATCATCTGTAGCGTGTTTAATTATTGTGAAAGCATGCGGACGAAGCTGGCGGCCAACTCGAGCCAGCTATCCGAGCAAATAGTTGGCCGACACGGTCCCCGTCGAAGTATTTTCATTCAAATATCGTTGTTGCCTCAAATTCGACCGCGTTGTACCAGTCGACGTGAATTTTCTCTAATTTTCCTGCAGCTTGTAAACGAAAATTGACAATCTTGGGGAGAGGTGGTACGATCATTTGCGCTTTGCACCTCGTTTTTATAATCGTCGACAATCGGTAAGTATAAAAATGAGCCGCGAGGCTCGAATAATCGAGTTCCCAAATTGTCTATCTTGTCCAGATACCCCTTTATTACGACGTCGACTAGAAATATTAAGAAGCAGGGATTTTACAGGGCTTTACAGGGATTTACAAGGTTTTTTTACCAGACTTTACAAGGTTTTTTACAGGACTTTGCAGGGCTTCTTTACAAGGCTTTATAGAGTTTTTAAAAGTAGCAGTGTAAATTGTAGAATACAAAATACGAGGAGGTAATTATTTTTCGAGAAAACAGAGCGCTGCTTCGATATGTTTTTTCTAGGTTCATTGGGCAATCAGTGTATTAGGAAAATCTATTAGGAAATTTGACTATGGAAATTCTACTAGGAAAATCTGCTAGGAAAATTCTACTAGAAAAATCTGCTAGGAAAATCTGTTTGAAAAATCTGCTAGGAAATTCTACTAAGAAAATCTGCTAAAAAAAAATCTATTAATAAAATTCTACTAGGAAAATCTGATAGAAAAAAAAATCTATTAGAGTAAAATTCTACTAGGAAGATCTGTTTGGAAAATCTGCTAGGAAAATCTGCTTGGGAAATTCTATTAGCAATTTTTGCTGCTACTGCTAGGAAAATCTGCTTGGGAAATTCGATTAGCAACTTTTGCTACTACTGCTAGGAAAATCTGCTTGGGAAATTCTATTAGCAATTTTTGCTGCTAGTGCTAGGAAAATCTGCTTGGGAAATTCGATTAGCAATTTTTGCTACTATTGCCAAGAAAAACTGGTTGGGAAATTTTAATAACAATTTTTGCTGCTACTGCTAGGAAAATCTGCTTGGGAAATTCGATTAGCAACTTTTGCTACTACTGCTAGGAAAATCTGCTTGGGAAATTCTATTAGCAATTTCTACTACTCTTAGCAACTTCTACTAGGAAAATCTGCTAGAAAAATTTATTAGTAAAATTCTACTAGGAAAATCTGCTTGGGAAATTCTATTAGCAACTTTTACTAGGAAAATCTGCTAGAAAAATTTATTAGTAAAATTCTACTAGGAAAATCTGCTTGGGAAATTCTATTAGCAACTTTTACTAGGAAAATCTGCTAGAAAAATTTATTAGTAAAATTCTACTAGGAAAATCTGCTTGGGAAATTCTATTAGCAACTTCTACTAGGAAAATCTGCTAGAAAAATTTATTAGTAAAATTCTACTAGGAAAATCTGCTTGGGAAATTCTATTAGCAATTTTTGCTGCTAGTGCTAGGAAAATCTGCTTGGGAAATTCGATTAGCAACTTTTGCTACTACTGCTAGGAAAATCTGCTTGGGAAATTCTATTAGCAATTTCTACTACTCTTAGCAACTTCTACTAGGAAAATCTGCTAGAAAAATTTATTAGTAAAATTCTACTAGGAAAATCTGCTTGGGAAATTCTATTAGCAATTTCTACTACTCTTAGCAACTTCTACTAGGAAAATCTGCTAGAAAAATTTATTAGTAAAATTCTACTAGGAAAATCTGCTTGGGAAATTCTATTAGCAACTTCTATTAGGAAAATCTGTGCTAGGAAAATCTGCTTGGGAAATCTGATAGGAAATTTCACTAGGAAAATCTGCTAAGAAAATCTGCTAGGAAATTATATCAAGAAAATCTGCTTGGGAAATTCTATTAGCAACTTCTATTAGGAAAATCTGCTAGGAAATTCTGCCAGGAAAATCTGTATGGAAAACGCGACATTGGTGGCATTTTCGTGTGGTCGCAGCATCGGTGTCCTGTGAAAAATGATTCGCACTTACTATAAGGCTGCATGACGGTGGAATTGACGGATTCCGGTGCTAAACCATGCGTGCAGCCTCCCCAGAGTCCCATGTGTTTGTAGAGCAATCGTCTGCCGGCTTTGCCCGCGTCTCCGAGGGGCAACCCGGTGTCGTTCGGCGCTTTCAGGGTAAACCAGTGATCGGTTCCGATAGCGACCGACCATGTGCACACCGATAGTCCCACGAGGATCGTGCAGCCAAGCAGTATTCGCCTCTCGAAAATTACCTGGGTGTCATAGCACTCACAGTACTCTTCGCAGGACGAGCAACGAATAACTTTCAATATCGCTACCACATAGAATTCAGTGAAACGTGTGCGTTCGCCGAAACGATCTCACTGGAAATCTACATATTTTCCGAATAATCGTGCAAAATTGCCAGCCTCGTCGGCAATTCGATCGAAATCGTATGTCCTTTATTATAAATACTTATTACACATCGTGTGTCATTTATAAATAATTTATGCCGTTATAAGTAGTTGTTACAAAAATAACCAGCGTTACTTGGATCTGTTTAAGATCAGTTTTTTTTAGATAGATAAAATAATTAGATAAAACAGTAGACGAAACAATAGATAAAATAATTTTGTAAATAAATACTGCAATAGACACGAGATGAAAACGTTGAATAAACATCCACGGAGAGTTTACAATATTTCCAAGTCGGTACAGGGTGTTCCGAAATTATTGTACAAGCGGAAAATGAGGGATTCCTGAGATCATTTGAAGCAACTTTTTCCTTAGCGAAAATGCAATCCGCGGCTTCGTTTGCGAGTTATTAACGAAAAACGGTGACCAATGAAACGCGAGATCAGCTGGCGCGAGGCAGCCGAGCCAATCAGCGGCAGTGGGCTTCGTGCGCTCGTCGACTGGACCGCCTCGCGCCAGCTAATCTCGCCTATCATTGGTCACCGTTTTTCGTTAATAACTCGCAAACGAAGCCTCGTAGAACATTTTCGGTAAGGAAAAAGTTGCTTCAAATGACCTAAGGAACCTCTCGCTTCTTGCTTGTACAATAATTTCGGGATATACTGTACGAATGCATGCAGAAGCTACGTTTTCACGATAAAGGTTACATTGTTGTTCGAACGAACGGTACGAGGCGACAATATTACAGTTCGGTGATCGATCGATCTTCGGCGAACCAGAATCAATTAGAACAAGCGTTTTACCTGGTTGTACAACGACTTCATTCGGCTGGCCATCTTGTTGCTTAATTGGTCTACTTGTCGACGACTAATATCTAATCACTGTAATGTACATTCTCGTTCACAGTTCTTGGCTGGACACTGTTCCCGCGGAAACTTCCGGGAGATCGCACTGGTACCAAGTGATGATCCACTGGCGATCGAGCGCGTCGGCCGCGAGTTCGAGCATTTTCCGACTGTTTCCGGCTATGTTGTAGTTCGATTCGATCAGCTACACCGGAACCGACTGAAATAAATTGCCGAGCATTCAGGCGACATCGGCCGGGGGACAATTCTCCTCCGGAGTTATTCCAACATAATTTCACGACAGCGTAGACGCGGCGGCCGCTCGTTCATATTGCGGAAACCGCTCTCGATTACCCGGGGCCGCTACTTCCCCCCCGCGATTCACGCGCTATTTTCAAAGTAAATAGTCGCCCTGGTAAAACACGATTCCCCACTTCCTCCCCTGCCGCTCGATTATTTTCGCAGCCCCGCGAAGGATACCTTGATACGCTCTTCTCTTCCGCCCGATGTTTGCCTTCCCCCGTAATTTAATTATCGAGCACCCTCGTCGCTTCTCCCGGCCACTCGTTCCGATCACTTTCGCCGGTGTTCAGCGAGTTCCTTTCGGTGACCTCCATTTCCTAGCGGTGGAGCAGAGCGATTCTTCCCGAAGCTGACCAGAACCTCGATCGCCTCTCGCTAACGCCTCGCCCGTTTTTATGCCGCCGCCTCTGGATTCGTGATACCTGGAAACGGTAAAAAAGATGCTTTGGCAGAGTCGTGGAAATCCTTTGCCGAAACCCTCGCCGCGAACTTTCAGTTAAAAAGCTGCACGCTCTGCGACACCGTGTACATATTCCATGGTGGATCGTGGCTCTGCGCTTCGTTCCGGATTCATTGGCTGAAGAACTGAATTAAAAGTCGAGCTTTATTCGTCCCTCGACTTCCGCAGCCGTGCGCGAAGTTCGAGGAATTTTTAAGCAAGTTCCACCCATGCCGAGGGATAAAGTAAAAGTTTCTTTAAAAGCAAAGTAAAAGTTTAGTTGAAAGTGAATGGAGTAAATGGTTTTTATTTGAAAGTGAATAAAGTAAAGCCTTCTAACGTGGCGAATATACGTATAAATAATATGTACAGCGTGAAGTGTGCGCGACAAAATAAATTGACAACTTTCGGAATTATTTTATTGATATTACGGCGTCGCGCGTTTAAGGGTTGACAGTCTTGAAAAAGTAGCTGACTATTGGGTTGGCAACTGAGTAATTGCCGATTTGTTCAATGAAATAAAAAATTGGATTTTACTTGCAACGAAGTTTAATCTGTAATGTATTTTCCATTTTGTTCGATGACCTTTTGCTATCCCTCTGACAACTTGAACATTCCACGCTCGTAGAAAGTCTGATCGTTTTCGGCCAAAAACTGAGTTAAGCGAGATTTTACAGCGTCGTCATCGTTAAAAGTTTTACCACGAAGGGAGTTGTCCAGGGATCGAAACAAGTGGTAATCCGATGGCGCGAGATCAGGGCTGTATGGTGGGTGTAACATCAATTCCCAACCAATATCCATCAATTTTTGCCGAGTGGACAAAGACGTGTGCGGCCCAGCATTGTCCTGCTGGAAAATGACACCTTTACGATTGACCAATTCTGGTCGCTTTTCCTTGACCGCTGCATTCAATTTGTCCAGTTGCTAACAATCACGGATAATAAAAAATAATATAATAATAATAATAATTAATATTAATAATAATATAATGCAATATATATATATATATATATTATTTTATAATGTATATAATTATACATTATTATAAATATATTTATATATTATTATATTATATTATATATAATATAATATAATAATATAATAATATAATAATATAATAATATAATATTATATTATACATATAATATAATAATATAATAATATTAATATTAATAATAATAACATTTACAGATATCATAAAAATGGGAGTGAGAGACATCTATAACTGAAATCGGCAATTACTTAGTTGCCAACCCAATATTAACAAAATTTTGGTTGCACGTTTAAGAAATAGCCGCTTTGGAGCAGTTAATTTACAAACAAAGAGATGTCCACGTTCCACTTTACACACAGTAGCAAGTTGTAACGCTTTGAAACTATTTTGTTGTAACTGCAGACGCGTTAGGTTCGCTACACGACTTTATCGTTACAAGGCCGAGCCTAAAGGGGGACAAAGTATGAAATCAAACATAGTAGGAAAAATATTAATGTGTCCCACTTCGGACATACTGTTCGATAAATATGAAACAATGCTGTCCGTCGATTCTCTGTCTGATACAATGCCTCGAGTTGCTCATAGTTTCGAATAAATGTGATTCTAATTGACAACACCTTATTCTTGATTTAAGAAATTCTGATACAAAAGGTAAAAAAAAAGAGTCGGATTTTAGTTTTATAAATATTAATGAATTCTTTTTAAATACATATTCAGTTTTATATAATTTATTTTCAAATCAATGCTAAAATATTATTATGTATGATAATTTTTATTATTAATATACTCATGATTAAATACTATAATGATATAATAATATATACTAATATATACTAATATATACTAATAAATAGTAATAAATAGTAATAAATGGTAATAAATAGTAATAGATGGTAATAAATGGTAATAAATGGTAATAAATGGTAATAAATGGTAATAAATGATAATAAATGGTAATAAATGGTAATAAATAGTAATAAATAGTAATAAATAGTAATAAATACTAATAAATGGTAATAAATGGTAATAAATAGTAATAAATAGTAATAAATAGTAATAAATACTAATAAATGGTAATAAATGGTAATAAATAGTAATAAATAGTAATAAATAGTAATAAACACTAATAAATACTAATAATGAAATACTAATAATAAAATATACGAAACATATTACACAGTAATATATAAAATTTGATTCAACAACCTTTTCAACGCGAACGAAAAATTTTGAATTAAACTAAGATTTTACCAAGAACATTTTCCAATACTTTCACTGTATTACCGAATTATTCCACTTACAATGAAAAATACGAGCAACTTGTACACCAAATAAAACCAATTTCAATCACAAATATTGTTAAAATTTACTTTCAAATCCCTTCGTATATCAATTATCAAGAACATTATCTTAAAAGAACAGCAGCTCGTCGCAACAGAACGCGAGCATTTTCGAAAATGGCGCCGCCGTCTGACAATTACATAACTGTACTACTTCCCAGAGACCGAAACCAAAGCCGTTTCGAGGCGGTTCGGTGAATGGAGTTTTGTAAAACGCGTTCCCGTCAGGAGTTCGGAGTCGAACTCGATATTAAAAATTCATCCGGCGTTTCGAGCGCGAATCTCCGAGCCGCGCGGGTTGCGAGGCGAAGAACACCCCGACACGCAATATTGTACATAATAAATAGAGCGAGACGGCTTCTGAACGCCGTAGTCATATTTTTAGATCGTCAGCTTTTTCTCGCGAACGCCCGTTCCTCGATCCGCCGTAGACTTTTCCGTAGGCTATTAGAATTTATAGGCCAATTCGCAGCGTTCGTTCCGTTTTCCGAACCGGAGAATGCGACTTTTTCTTTCGGTTTTTGCTTCTTCGCTTTCGCCGTTTTCATTCCACGGCGAGCCGCGGCGCGAAATTATTGGGTTGACAATTAAGTTATTGCCGATTTCAGTTATAAATGTTTCTCACTCCCATTTTTATGATATCCGTAAATGTTATACTATAAAATTATTATTATTATTATTATATTATTATTATTGTTATTATTATAATATATAATATATTATATATATTATTATATTATATAATATATTATATATTATTATTATTATTATTATTATTATTATTATATATAGTATATTATATATATTATTATATTGTATATTTTATATTTTATAATAATATATTATATATTATTATTATTATTATTATTATTATAATATTACTACAAAATTATTATTATTATTATATCCGTGAATGTTAGCAACTGGACAAATTGAATGCAGCGATCAAGGAAAAGCGACCAGAATTGGTCAATCGTAAAGGTGTCATTTTCCAGCAGGACAATGCTAGGCCGCGCGCGTCTTTGTCCACTCGGCAAAAATTGATGGATATTGGTTGGGAATCGATGTTACACCCACCATACAGCCCTGATCTCGCGCCATCGGATTACCACTTATTTCGATCCCTGGACAACTCCCTTCGTGGTAAAACTTTTAACGATGACAACGCTGTAAAATCTCACTTAACTCAGTTTTTGGCCGAAAACGATCAGACTTTCTACGAGCGTGGAATGTTCAAGTTGTCAGAGAGATGGCAAAAGGTCATCGAACAAAATGGAAAATACATTACAGATTAAACTTCGTTCCAAGTAAAAGCCAATTTTTTATTTCATTGAACAAATCGGCAATTACTCAGTTGCCAACCCAATAGTTCGTCGAAGAAAAAAGAAAGATAAGAAATTTCATCGACCGAACGATATTCATTCGGCGAACTTCTCGAGGGAAAAACCATGTTCATAAGTACGGTATGAAAGGGGAAAAAGCGGGCACGAGTTTCGCGAACTAGGCCAAATGCCGGCGATTCCGCAGCGCGACGGGGCCTTTTATATTCTTGTCCGTGCCGCGATGGATCTATATACCGTCGCCGTAATTGCTTTATCAATCAAATTATTTACCACTCTCTCGTCAACCACCTCGTAAAGTACAACGGCGCTCTCTGTTCGAACTTTTTACCACCCCCGTTACCCCCAAGGTTCCATCGTGTTGTCGCGGGACGAGAATTGAAAAATCAACTTCCGGCAAGAAGCCTCGCTGGAAAGTAGGACCGTCGAGGTCCGTCTTACAATCGAGTTAGTGGGCTTGTTTCACGGAAGCGAATGTTTCGCATTGTTTCCCGTCGACCGTATTTTTTACGGGATTTTTTGCACCTACGTTTGCATTGCTCTCAGTTGCACTTTCTTAACAATTTCTTTTCTTGAAGAACATTTCGTTATGTATTTGATAGAAATGTTTTTATATTTATATTTTTATATATATATATATTATTATCATATATATATTATATTATATTTATTATTATTATAATAATATATATATATATATATATTATTATAATAATAATAAATATAATATAATATATATATACTGTCTCTTATACACATCTAGATGTGTATAAGAGACAGTATATATATATTATATTATATTTATTATTATTATAATAATATATATATATATATATATTATTATAATAATAATAAATATAATATAATATATATATACTGTCTCTTATACACATCTAGATGTGTATAAGAGACAGTATATATATATTATATTATATTTATTATTATTATAATAATATATATATATATATATATATAATAATAATATATATAAAAATATAAATATAAAAACATTTTATATATTTGAAGGAAATGTTTCTCAAAAAACATTTTGAGCTTTTAAATGTATTTTGAGAAACGTATTTTTTCAAAATTCACTGATTCTCCCCGGTTGGACGCGAGTAAAGCTCTGTGGCTCGCGGATAATAATTGCTTAAATAATTGCTCTTAAATAATAATTGCATAATTATAAAATCAATTGAAAGCGTGTCATAGTTCGCTTATCCTACACTTCGACATTTTACCATAAACGCGTAATGTCCCGCGGTATAGTCGCTTAGCAAAAGCCGCACGTGCAAATCCGCAATCGAGT